CAAAGCATTAATGGAGTAATGGGGACGCAATTACGGCTTGTTGCATATACCCATCAGAGTGTAAAATGACAATTTACCTAAATTTTCTTCAGATTTCGTTTTTTCTTATTTTTCATATTTTATATCCAGATTAGGCTTTTTGCTTATTAAAGTATGTTCTGCAACATAGTAGACGTGCGCACCCAGTTATTTAGAGCACACAATATATCATTTGTCTATCCACTTAGCGATTTGACGAACTTTCTCTGACAGAATGTACTCTTAGGCTTGTTGGGTTAGATATTAGAATGAAGGTTGAATTTTATCACTTTGTATTTTCCATATTCAATAAATAGTCTTATACCTGCCTTTCTACTACTACTATACTACTACTACTTATACGCACGCACGCTACAAAGGCTAACTATACATACATGCTTCAATGCATTTGGGGGTTGTAGGAGGCCTAAATTACGGCTGGTTGTCTACCCCAACAGGTGCTGATTCAAAGTTAGTAGTTATCATGTATATAAACAGGTTGCCGATGGTTTGGTTTACTTATAGGTATTTATTTATTTATTTTTTTTATTTACTAACAAAACGGGACTTGCCCTTTTACATTGTCAGCAGTCAACGGTTTTGGCTTTAACAACTTAAACAAACAAAAGTAACAAAACAACAATACTAAAAAAAAAACAAATACCATATATGCAATATCAAAGATGTAACAAGACATTACGGACACTCGTTCAAGTTTCCTGGCTCGTGACCTATTAGATTTTATCATAATAATATGCAATAACTCCTTTTTTAAATAATGTTAAGTTTACATTAAATATATTAGAATTGGTCTGGTGAATATATGCATTGGTGGTTATGGCTACCCTTATCATTGGCGATTTTAAGTTGTGACCGGTTCGACACGTAGGCACATAAAATATACTTTTTGGTCTGGTTTTATGAGCTGGAACATACAGATTCACAAGTGATAGCAAATTAGGACAGTCAATTCTATTATTTATCAATTTGTATGTACATGAAACAAATATCAGCAACTTCTCTCCTATATTTTAACGGCATGATATGATTTTCCTCTCTAACTTCCCGATATTGATCATATTGGGGGTAAGTACCTCTTAAAATGTAGATATTTTAAGAATTTATTTTGAACTGTCTCTATTTTTTTTATGGATTTGTAGACCGGAATTCCAAACTCTACTGCCGTACTCTAATTTAGATCGTACCAGGGAGTTGTAGAGAATTTTTATGGAAACGATCTACCCCAACAGGTGCTGATTCAAATATGATTGGCTCTACCTAATTAGATTTGATCATGTCAACGGTTTTGGCTTTAACAACTTAAACAAACAAAAGTAACAAAACAACAATACTAAAAAAAAAACAAATACCAAATGCAATATCAAAGATGTAAAAGACATTACGGACACTCGTTCAAGTTTCCTGGCTCGTGACCTATTAGATTTTGTCATAATAGTATCCAATAACTCCTTTTTTAAATAATGTTAAGTTTACATTAAATATATTAGAATTGGTCTGGTGAATATATATGGTGGTTATGGCTACCCTTATCATTGGCGATTTTAATTTGTGACCGGTTCGACACGTAGGCACATAAAATATACTTTTTGGTCTGGTTTTATGAGCTGGAACATACAGATTCACAAGTGATAGCAAATTAGGACAGTCAATTCTATTATTTATCAATTTGTGCATGAAACAAATATCAGCAACTTCTCTCCTATATTTTAACGGCATGATATGATTTTCCTCTCTAACTTCCCGATATTGATCATACTGGGGGTAAGTACCGTGCCTCTTAAAATGTAGATATTTTAAGAATTTATTTTGAACTGTCTCTTTTTTTTTATGGATTTGTAGACCGGAATTCCAAACTCTACTGGCGTACTCTAATTTAGATCGTACCAGGGAGTTGTAGAGAATTTTTATGGAAACGAATAGAAACGTATAGAAAATCATTAAAACTAAACCAGGGTTTAAGCTTTGTAAACAGAAAAAAATTTGAAAAAAACTATTGTTCATGACAGAGGCGTGCAGCGGAGAGCAAGGCATGTTTTGTTTGATGCATCTACATCTTGCTTCGGTGCAGCCTTTTTTCCAGCCGCACTTTATGAATTAAAGTCCAACCCCAGTCGGACGGGTCTGGCAATGACTGCTGAATCTGCAAAGCGATTCGAACTAAGCAGATGAAAAGGGCTTGGGGAACACAAAAAGAAGGTTTTGCATAGCTTTAAAAACAAGACGTGACTTGTTGGATGGATCTTGCAAATATCTTCGTTTTTCTTGATGAAAAGTCGTTTTCTGCATTCATTGACGTCCTTTTCTTGCGATGATGTGTCATACATTTTCACGACAAATAAAGCAATGTTAGGTTGCTTTATTACCTTGCTGGTATTTAACTGATAAATAATTCTAGAGGCAAAACATTGACCTAGCTGCCTGTGAGTCTTCTGTACCCACGGCACCCAATGTAAATTTCCATAAGAGCGCCCGCCATAAAAACTCTAAGTGGTTTAAAAAAAAAATTTTTTTTAAGAACTATTTTATTTAAAATTTAAAATGTTCGGACCGAGGTTCGGACTATTTTTTTTTAAGTGTATAGCAACTGAATATCGATTGTTTAAAGATTAGCTGTTTTGCACCGATTATTGCGCTAATCTGTTTCAATTTTTTACTCGCGATCAAGACGATTTATGGAAAAAGTAAACCGACGGTCTGTATCTTGGTGGGCGGTAAGTCAACAATTTCAGTGTAACAAGTGGCGCCGCTGCTCAATGTCGGCGGGAACTACCTAAGGACCAAGACAGGAGTTGACAAAGCAAAAATATCATCTTGTCTCTTGCAACTATAATCATCTACATACAGTGAATTTTTTTTAAATGCGAACATAGGAGTTTGCATGCAATGTAATTTCCCTATGTTCGATTTAAAAAAAAACACATCAATCCACGATACACTTACAACGGTATGCTCTTGCGCATCTAGCGTGACGTCACGTGCGAACAAAACCACAGAATATAAGAGCAAAATTACGATGCTTAGATCGACAAATCACAAGGTTAGTTGACAAATCATACTGATTTGTGTAGAGATCCTCGCGTAAGTTATTTCTGGGATTTCGTGATCGTATGAAATAAACTCTAACCAAAAACATTGGCCCTAAACATGAAATGCGGCTGTTTCAGTAAAAATTATATAATTAATGCATTATCAAAAGATCTAATCGCTCCTCCGTGTCCCTTTTATTTTGATTTTCATTATTACGCGGTAGTTTTAAAGTAAGTAAAGCATCAGGTTTCAAACATCCGCTGTTTTTAAAAGTAGGTCTAATTAAGGAGTCGTTCCCTTGCGGTGCTTCAAAACGGCTGGCTTCAAAATGTTCATAACAAATACAGGATATAGGATTAAACAGCAATGGAAAGACTTAAACACACCACTTAATAATAATGCAACACCATTTTTCAAGGTAATTTTGTCCTTACGACGACTTGCAACAATCCATTTTAGAGAAAAGTCTTCAATTTTCGGAAATCGAAAGTACCTATTTTATTTCCACACACAACCTGGCATTTTGGAATTTTCACTAATGATTACTTAGCTATCAACAAATTAATGCTTAGCTATCAACAAATTAACGCTATAAAACTCGTAAATACAACTGAAAAGGTGCAAACTGTCACGCGTGACATCTGTACTGGATTTTTCCGTGCGTAAACACTTGAATTTTGGCGCCACACGTTCGCAGGTGACGTAATGCGCAGTAGAAAACGCGTTTGAGAAAAATAATGAGCATACCGTGTGTAAGTGTATCGTGCATCAATCTATAGAGTAGTTCAAATGAGTAGTAGATACAATTGACAGCTATCATATTTTTAAAAATACAGCCGTCCAATTTAATTACGAAATCGGTTAGGTTATTGCTTATAATGTCAAGGAGGAGACTTCGAACATTTATTGTAATTGTTTTCGGTATTTATTTTCTTATTTTCTTCATTTATGTATTGAATAGATCAAATTAGTAGAATACCAGGTGCACATGACCTACAAATAATTGAAGGTTGGTTCACAATGAGTTGTGGTGTCAGTGCGTGACCTGTGAGATCAAGTGATCGTAAGCTTAAGAAAAATGTATCCTAAAGTTGCTATGGCCACACATGGCTTCTTTAAAAAAATCTTACCGAGTGCTCTTCATCATAAAGACTATGACTTGTTATTCATAGTCACACAAGTTGCGCGATTTGGGAATGTGAACCGCGCACATCTCATAGATTGATGTGTTTTTTTTTAAATCGAACATAGGGAAATTACATTGCATGCAAACTCCTATGTTCGCATTTAAAAAAACCTCACTGTATATACCATAATGTAAAGAAGTTGCGCCTGGGTAAAGAAGCATACAATAGAATTACCTTCAATTAGTACACTCTGCATCCATACCGTTTCATCATTTAGATTGATTGTGCCAATACCAATACATTTAGTAACAGAGCTTACATAACATTCAATTAGCGTCTCTTATTCTTCTTCGGCTTTAACATCATGAATTTGTTTCTTTTCCTCCTTGGATTTCTTGCAGACTGCAGTAAAGTGATTTTTTTTGTTATACACTTATTATAACGCAGGGCCTATAAAGACATTTATAAAAATAAATTTCGTAACAAGGGAAAAATGCAAAATTGAATGTAGCACAAGTAGAATTAGCCAAGAGGTGTCGATATAGGAAATTGCTTATCAGGCGGTAAAAAGGTTGAGGCACCTCGTGAGCTAGAAAAAAATTAGTCAGTAGTGATTGGGTTGTTGAACAGAACCGACATGGTAAGTCCCAAAGTTTATTAGTTTTCATTGGTATTGTAATTTGTAATTGGTCCCTGCGTTTACTCTTTCTACCTTGAAAATTTCTTTATGTTGATGTTTTAATACCCCTGTAAACGTTCTGGAAGTTACTTCAATATAGCCCAGGTACTCCCTAGCATTCCCAAGCGTTCCTTAATTGAAATCCCTACTCAATAACACCTTTTGCTACCAATACCGAGAGAAACACCCCTTAAGGGTTACAATGGTGGCACTAGATGTTACAATGGTGGCAGCGTAAACGAACCTATCTTCCGAAACCTTGTAAATTTTTAAAGAATTCCGGCAGAAAAAAGAAAAAACTACGCCCAAAATTCAGTTTTATTCGCAGTAATCGTTCCAAGTGTTTAACCTACATATTATGTACAATTAGTAGAACTTCGCAATAACGTAAGAAGTGCAAGTGCAGCGCATTCCAAGTTCAATAAGTCAGGAACGCACTTACATTTTCGCAATTATTGGCAAAATTTTTAATTAATATCTTTTAGGTGGGTTAAATCAACCACGTTATTAACCCTAACCGCGTGTATAATTTCACAAAAGGTGGAAAAACTATAATAATAAGATTTTATCACAACTAAAAAATAAAAGAAAAATGTCCAAGACAAACATATACCCAGATTTGAAAGCCGATGAAAGCGCATCATCAACCCCAAATCCAGTTTTGACCCCGTTCACGTCAACCGGGTTAATTGCAACCACTGTCGAAAGTTTCGATGGGAGGAATGTTAAGGAGTATTTTCGTAAACTCGAGATAAGGGCAAGACTTGACAACTGGACGCAGGAAACGACGTTAGACATCCTAATTTATAGACTTTCAGGCGACGCCTACAAATTTTTCTGGGCGGATGATAAATTAAAAGACCAAACATACGACGAACTCAAACAAACTTTCATTAAAAAATTTTCACCGACAAAAATCCCGGGTGAGGCGTTAATTAGACTATCCAAAAGTTACCAGAGATTCGACGAGAAAATTTCGACATACGTAACGCGTTTAAAAAGTATAGGGCACGAAATTTTGACTGACGATCTTAAACTAGCGACTTCAGAGACACAAAAAGACGTTTTTAGACAAAAAGCAAATGAATTAGTCCTCAATCAATTCAGGATAGGTATCCACAAACAGTTTCAAAATGAATTATTACCAACCCTTATGCGCACGGAAAACCTCACTTTAGAAAAAGCAGAAGAGTTAGCTAACCACGTCGAATTAACCCATTCAATTTGTCAAAACAGGTCAAATAATTGTCACTTCATCAACCAACAATTTTGCCAAGTCTGTAAGAAAAATAATCACTCGTCTCAGAATTGCAGATTCAAAACATATTCAAATAATAATAATGATTTTAGCCCAATTAATAGACGTCCCAATAACCCAACTAACGCTCCTACACAAAAATATAATAATAATGATTTTCACCCAAATAACAAAAGTTCACACAATTATAATTCAAACAATCCCCAAAGACAAAATTACAATTCTAATAATTTCAACCCCAAAAATACACAATTTAACCAACGCCAAAATAACTACAACCCCCAACAATTCTACCAGCGCCCAAGCAATTATAATTCCAATAGAGGAGGATATTCAGGATACAGATCCAATAATTTTAATCAAAGTTTTAAGCGACCACAAGCGGAACCGAATAATAATTTTAACCAAAATCGAAGTAACCAACACACTAATAATAATAATTTTCAGCAATATAAATATAATAATAATCGGCAACGGGCAACCAATTCTTCAAATTCATATAATCAAAATTTAAACTAATTTCGGTGCTGGATCAAGTCTCAGATTTCAGTACCTTACACCAGGAAAAAGAAATCAATCCCTCAAATAAAATTTTAGTTCCCCAAGTTCATAAAGTCGATTTAATAGGTGATACCCCTTCAATTATTAAGCTATATATCAACAATAAAATTAAACAATTTTTAGTAGACACCGGATCTACAGTTTCACTTCTTAAACAAGGAAAGTTGGATCAAAAGCATTTTGAAAAATCAAGTGTAATAATAGAAGGAGTTACCGGACATATTTTGCAAATTTTAGGAACCACTGAATTAACAGTAGGAATTCAACCAAACGAGAGTCTTTCCAAATTTTCATTCTTAATTTGTCCAAACGACATGGCAGTCAATGCAGACGGAATTTTGGGAAGAGATCTCATTGTCAATTTAGGTATTATTATAGATTTAAGGAATGAAACAGCTTACATAAACAACCAACCCTTACAAATTTTTTGTGGAATTGATAAATTTATTCATCCCCATGAGACAAACTTAATGAAAATAGGCGATAATAATAATAACAAAGAAGAACGGGAAATAATACGACCTAATAAAACTTTTACAAAATCGGAATTGATTAATAAACCGGAAATAATAAACGACTCAAGTAGTAGCGAAACGGATAACGACTTAGAAAATTTAAGGGCACAATTAAAATATTTTAAGGATAAAGACGATAAACGCAAAACTAAACGGAAATTGAGATACGCGATGTTAAATCAAGAAATAAATAAAGACAATAATAAGGATAATAAGAATAATAAATATGAACAAAATAATATAGCTAATAATAATAAAATAAAGAATCAGTTTAATAAAGAAGAACAAGAAGAAGTTATATACAAAGTAGAAGCAAATATTAAGGACACAAACAAACGTAATAAAGTTAAAGAAACTTTCCAAGAGGTAGATACGAAGATAATTATTGAAGAATATGGAGAATTAAGTTCAGAAAGTGAAGATGAACAATATAAAGAAAGGAAAAGGATTTATGAAGAAAACAAGACGTTAGACGAGTACCATGCCAAATTTTTGGATGGAAAAGCGGGAAAAGCCAAGGAGTCAATGGATGACACGCATCAAAACAGCATGCGACCGTCGTTACGCAGTGCGCGCAACCTAGATGAAGTCGACTCCAGCCAGAACCCAAAGCTTATCGAGGAAGAAGAAAATAATAATAATGATTTTCCAGTACATAACAAATTAAATAATAATAATGATTTAACAGTTACTAAGGATAATACAATAAATAATAATATTACAAAAGATAGAGAAATAATTAATAATAATGATTTTTATATAAGATTAAAAGATCAAATTATAGTACCTCCTAAAGCGGAGATAAATTGCATAGGTGTCAACAAAAAATTTAATCAAATTCATGAAGAGTTTATAACACTTGAACCCCAGGTAATAGTCCCAGGTGTGTATTGTGCAAGAACAATTAACAAAAATAATCAACAAATTATAGCTAGACTAATCAATTTAAATAATAAAGAAATCGTACTACAGAAAAACATAAGACTAAGTACTATAGATCCAGTAGACCAAATATTAGAAAACCACAACAAAACCCAAAAGGTCAATAAAATAAACATGGCAAATCCAAATTGGATTCAAGATAATTTTGATTTTGGAGATTTAGACGGAAAAACTATTGAACTTTTATATTCATTAATTACCAGATACGCAGACATTTTTGAAAATGAACCAGATCAAGCTAACGTAACTCACAAAATTAAACATAAAATTATAGTAGATGACAATGTAAAACCAATCGCAAAAAGACCCTACAAAATTCCTTTCAAACATAGAGATATTTTAAATAACGAGATAGATAAACTTTTAAAAGCAAATATTATTGAAAAATCATCAAGTCCCTGGAGTGCGCCAACAGTGCTCATTGTGAAAAAATTACCAAACGGACAAGAAAAAATTAGGTTATGTATAGACTATAGAAGTTTAAATTCAGTTACAAAAAAAAGATGTTTTCCCCTTACCTCTGCTACAAGAAGCAGTAGATCATCTTTCAGGATCATCACTTTTTTCAACTTTTGACGTAACTTCAGCTTACTACCATATTCCGATGGAAGAAGATTCTAAACAATACACAGCATTTTCAACAGCACATGGTCATTGGCAATTCAATGCAATGCCTTTTGGTCTCTGTAATGCACCAGCAACTTTTCAAAGGTTCATTAATTTTACATTAGAAGGTCTCATAGGTGACATTTGCTGGGTATATTTAGACGACATTTTAGTACACAATTCAACCGGTATAAAAGATCACATAAAAAAATTAGCAACAGTATTTGATCGATTTAGAGAAGCAAACATAAAATTAAAACCCTCAAAATGCAAATTTTTAGCAAAACAGGTAAAATATTTAGGTTATATAATCACACAAAATGGAGTAAGGCCGGACCCAGAAAAAATTGAAGCCATTAACCAAATTCCAATCCCGAAAACATTGAAACAAATCAGATCATTTTTAGGCATGATTAATTTTTATAGGAAATTCATCCCAAATTGTGCAGATATTGCTAAACCGATAATGGAATTAACAAAGAAAGGTGTCAAAATTAAATTCGACCAACCAGAAACTTCAGCGTTTAACAAACTAAAACAAGCGTTAATCACAAAACCAATACTTATTTACCCAGATTTTAATAAACCATTTATTTTAGCAACCGATGCCAGTAATACAGGCGTAGGATGTGTTTTAAGCCAAATTCAGGAAGGATTCGAAAAACCTATAGCGTACGCAAGTAAAAATTTAAATAAAGCAGAAGCAAATTACAGTACAACGGAAAAAGAACTGTTAAGTGTCATTTTTGGAATTAAACATTTCAGATGTTATTTGTATGGTAGAAAGTTCACTATTGTTACAGATCACAGACCCCTCAGGTATTTATTAAATTTAAAGGACGGAAACCAACGACTACTAAGATGGTCATTATTAATTTCAGAATATGACTTTGATATTATACATCGACAAGGTAAACTTCACGGAAACGCAGACGGTTTAAGTAGAGCTTTTGAATCAACAACTAGCACGGATGACAAACGGACAGATAACCAAATAAATGCAATAACTAGACAAAACAAACTAGACGAAATCATTCCGATTTGTGATAGGGAATCAATACTTAGAGAACAACAAAAAGATACGTACTGTCAAACTATTATTCAGAAAATTCAGTCAGGAGACAACGACTTTTACTTAGACGCAGACAAAATGATTTTCAAGAATGAAAACGTTCAGGATAGATTAGTAATACCAAATTCGTTAATATTAAAAATTATAAATGATTACCACTCACTACCTATTTTCGGACACCAAGGAATAGCTAAAACCCTTTCAACTATAAAGCATAGATGTTACTGGCCTAACATGACGAAACATATAACAGACTTTGTTACGAGATGCCATGAATGTAATAGGAGAAAGACATCACCACATTTATCTAGAGCACCTTTACAAAATTTTCCAGAATTAAACTATCCATTCCAAAGAGTATCTTTAGATATTGTAGGTCCATTACCAACGACAGACGAAGGTAACAAATATCTTTTAACTTTTATAGATCATTTTTCAAAATACGTAGAATTAACACCATTGCCAAATCAAAAAACAGAGTCCATTGCAAAAGCTTTCATAATAAAAGTTATAACTCGTCACGGAACCCCTGAAAAATTATTAACAGATCAAGGAGCAAATTTCATTTCAAATTTAATGAAAGAATTATGTAAAGAATTAGGCATAATAAAATTGCAAACCACAGGTTATCATGCAATGGGAAACGGGGCACTCGAACGAGTACACCGAGATATAAAAAATTTCTTAAGTCATTATGTAAACAAACATCAAACAGATTGGGATCAATTTAGCCCATACTTCGAAATGTCCCATAATTTCACTATTCATAGTTCAACAAATTTTAGTCCTTATTTTTTAATTTATGGTAGAGACCCAAAATTTCCAATAGACAAGACCCTAGAGCCAATTAGGAAAAAATACGACATAGATTCAAATTATTGTTCAGAAGTTTTAACTAGATTAAACATAGCATTTAGAGAAGCCAGAGAAAATAATAAAAAGGCCACAGAAAAATACACAAAACATTACAACAAAAAATCAAAAATTCTCAAATTTAATTTAGGAGACTTAGTTTACGTTTACGAACCAGCAATTCAGGTAGGCACAGCGAAAAAACTACACAAACCATGGACAGGACCATATAGAGTCATAGAAATTTTAAGCGATGTAAACTATAGAGTCAAATTAGTAAACAAAACAAAAGAATTGGTAATTCATAGAAATCGACTAAAGCCATTTTACCAAACCCCAAACCAAAACCAAATATTAACAACACAAAACAGAAAACATTTTAATACATTTGACGAACTTTGGCCACAACCTTACACTAATGATAATTACAATAACGACCCGTCAAACATAGCTTCACACATACTATTAGGACAAAGTAGGTTCCAAAATCAATATACCCCAAGGAGAAATTTTAATAGAATCCCAGACAAGAAAAGAAAGGCTTCACCCTTACACAATTGGAGACCAACAAAAAGAAGAGAAGTATACGGACAGGTTAACAGACAAACTCAAAATTTATTGCGGGAAAATTACAGACAGTTTAGAGATATAAACAATTATGGATCTAGATATTCTCAGGGAGTAAGAAGATCGAATAGAAGGAGATATTAAAATTAAACCACATACCAAAATTCTTTTTCTAATTTTTCAAAATTTCCAAAAATACTATAAAATTAATAAAAAGTATCAACAAAATTCAATTTCATAGTTGAGAGAAAAAAAAAAAAAAAAAGGAGATTCAATACATATTGCGTAAAGGAATACTAGTTATGTACGGAGTGAGCTAACTAGTACCAGTCAAGAACATTTAACAATTTGGATGTTAGAAAACTAATATGGTAAATTACAAACACAATCTAACAACTAACTTGTTATACAAACTAACTAATTTTTAT